GGTATGGCTTGGTAGCGCGAAAGCAGTACTCATATTTCTCATATATATATATATATATCATACGTATATATAGTTATATATATATATATATATATATATATATAGTATATTAAGGTATATAGTATATATTATATATATAGTAGGGAGACTGGTTCAAAGTACAAACCTGCACTATCTAAAAAGCTAAAACCTCTCCTCTCCAATTCGATCTAGATTGCATCCAATGCTGAGTTATAGCTGCATAAGGGTAATAAGGTGAAATGAAACCAGCGCGCGACTAAAGAGAGGTTAATTTTGTGCTTGGTAGTGAGGTGGCACAATCCCCTCCACTCATTCAAATGGGGGACCACATTCATATGAGTTTAGAAGTACATGGGGATATGCAATCATTTGAATGAGTGGAGGAGATTATGCCACCTTACTACCAAGCATAACTTTTTGTGTTTGGTACCAAACATACCCATTTCTTTCTCTCTCTCTATATATATATATATTGCCTAAAGAAGTCGGCATCAAATACGCGTCCGCATCTTGCAATTTGTGACCGACTCTGCCCACCTAAGAAAGCACCGCGGTCATAATCAAACCGCTGCAAATTGTGAAGAGTAGGAGGACTTTGAACGAAGACAGCCGCGTGAAGAGAGACGCGAGCGCGAAGGATACGGCGCCTTTGCTCCCCCGGTTTCGTGGGCCCCCACCACACACCGTTCAAACAAACAAAAAGGCTACTTCCTATTTAGGACGCCCCCTAAGTTCATTAAATGAATATTATAAACTTATAAATTCTCGACGCTCATCTACAATTTAACCTTTAGGTATGTATGGAATAAAATTATGAAAATAGCCGTATAGAGTTTTCTCTCTTGGAAAATTACAAATAAATGATGTGTAATGTCATATGTGTTTGGTTATCTCATAAAATTAACCGGGTTTTAGAAAGCAACCAACGACTGACCAGGTACCATCCTAAGCAGCATAGCTTCTCGTTCCTTGCTCGGGGACGGACATCACGGTTTGAGCCTTGTTTGGCACATTGTCTTCAGCGAGTTCTAACTAATTCGTGTGAAGGCACGAGTGCAATCATCAAATTAAATTATTAATTATATCAATGCCCTCTCTTGCCATCTAACTATCTCGAGCAGTAACGGAGGGACACGTGGACAATTCTATTATAAAGAAAATTCTGTGAGGCTCACCTAAGCTGACCAGATAATGCCACGTGGACTTCCTTCTCTTTCCGATCTACCCTTCTGAGTTAGTATAAGAAAGGTTACATTGGTAAGAAAATCTTTAAGTCTAGTTTCATTCTCATTTTGATTAGATATCTACCTTATTTCTCAAGTCATTAACCAACGAACCCGCCGATCAGAAGAAGCAAATGAGCCCCTAGCTCCGGAAATTCATCACTAACTATTTTCTCACCCAATACATGTTTATTATCAATTTCAAATCATTGCAGTCAACAAACAATTAGTACAAACAGAATAAAAATATAAGTAAAATCTAACAAGTGAGGTAGTACAAGAATCATTGCAATCATCGATCTATAGTGAAACTGATAATGAGATGTAGTAGCCCTTTTCTTCTTATTATTAGGGTCATCTACATGGTTTTCTTTATAAAAGCATAACAGCTTGTCATTTTTACCTAAACTTCGAAGACTTTAAAACAAAATTGTCATGTTTTATGTCATCATCCAGTTGTTAATTAATTATTAGTTGACAACTGACTTCAAAAGTAGCTAGGAGTAATTAAACAAGCAAAAACGTGAGCGCCACCACATGACAATAATGAGTTGGTCTTAAATGCTCTCACATTGGTTTTGCAAATAAGATATTGCTTCTTAATGTAATCAATCAGTGATTATTATAATAGCTTTGTGAAAGTTATGTAATTAAAAATAAGGAAGCAGAAACGGTCTCAACTAATTGTTTAACTCAGCTAGAGCCTAGAGCCTAAGCCATTAGTTTTAGCTTCCCTTTTGCCTTCTAATTAGTTTTAAAAGAAAATAGGAGACTGAAAACATGGTTAACTTAAAAATTAAATGAACCCTCTGGAATTTCCTGGAGATGTACTAAGTAGTTTAAGGAATTGCAAAATTGTATTCTTACGCTAAATAGCTATTGAATCTACGAGAAACATATACGTGTCATTGATTAGATAAAATATTAATTATCTTAAAAATACTATATCTTGCATTAAACATCTATGACCATTCAACTACTAGACATAGACAAAGGAATCCTCTCCACTAGCAATCAGATACTTGGAAGTTAGTTTAGCATTACTCTCTTTGTTATTGACAAATCTGTTCTCATTTCATTCTCTTCGTTATCACGAGGGTGTTTGGGGACAGTGGCAGATTCAGAAAATTTTAGATTAAGGGGTGCCGGATAAATGTTCATTTATCCAAAAGTAAAAACATAATATTATAAAACTATAACATCTAATGGGAATGTACTTAGTACACTTGATTTTGGAAAATGTGAATGGACTTTTACTTTTCAATGGGCTAATTCAAATTGTTACTAATTTCTTTGCTATTTTTTACATAGCTTGGGTGTAATTTTAAAAAGAATTTTTTTGTGGGGTGGGGTGGGGTGGTTGGGGGATATGTAAAAATTGCATGGCTACAATTGCACCACTAGCTACTTAATAGATCTGCTTCCCGTTTGAGGGAATTTATTTTAGGTCAATGGAGCTTACAAACTAGTTTTTTCATATCTAGATGTCCGATAGAAGCTTTTTTAAGCCCATTTGAAAAAGCCAGTGTTCCCAATTTTGGAAAAACTATAACATATGTTCATTCAAATAATATAGATTTAGCCAAACAAATTACAATTTTACTCAAATAATTTATAAAACAAATTTATCATAAAAGTCGTAAACCTCCAAAAGCCATACTACCTTATAATCTTAGAAAAATAAGCTCTCTCAACCCAAGATATCTTAGGCATTCTGTTAGGTATTAAGTATGACTAAAAATGGGCCAACATGATACCAAAGTAACAAAAATATCAAAGTGTCTAGCAGGTTCAACAAAAAATATCAATCTGGTAGTTTGGCCCATAAAAAAAGAATTATATTCAAGACTATCTATTTTCAAGATCTAGCGAGGTTTTCTCAATTGTACATTGAAAAATGGTGTCTACCAACTAAAATCCATCACCCCCCCACACACACACACCCACACACACACCCACCACCAAAAAAACCCTAGGTCGGAATCCTAGCTACCCCACTGGTGTAATGGAGGGGAAGAAAGCTCCTTTTGCTTCTCTCTCTACCCAATTATCCCTTTAACTTTTTTTCTACCCCCATGAAATCCAAATCACTCCTTTTCCGAAAGTGTGACAGATAATGACAACAGGACATCCACATTATTCCATGGACTCTCGTAGTCATGCTCCAACAAATCGATGTACCTTCTTTACAAGGGATCTTCTCAATGCACCATTTCTTTCATGAATCATTGTCAACTTGATCACCAATTGGTATCATTCTGGCCCCCTCACCGTCAAAAGTGCATCCCCCACTCAAATTGGAAAGAAAAAGGTTTCTTTTGGCCCAATTCCGTATCCCACGTCATTTAGGGGTATTTTGTTGATATTTTTTTTTGCTAGTCATTTGTTTAGACTAATTGAGATGCACACGCAATGCACTTGAATACTCACATCATTGCTTCTCTTTATATTAAATTTAAAAGTAATAATTTAAATTATTAAGCACCAAATATTAGCTCATGTGAGAAAGTATAGTTATCTATGATCTATATGCATATATACTATATAGTCAATCAATCAAACATATTAAAATTATAATGACTACAGTCAAAATTACATTATGGGTTCACATTAAATATAATTTATAAAAAATAGTGTATTAAAGTTAAAATCTTTTTAACCACTATATAAATTTTCTGAAATTTTTTTTATATATAAACTATACTGTCTAGGAATAGTAATGTGCATACTTAACTATAGTCTAATAATCTTAAGAACGACTTATCATCATTAATTGACGTATACGTGCATTACACTAAAAACATAATAAAAATTTAGAAAACTATAAAATAAACACCATCAAAAGTTTTAAAAATTATAAAAAAACACCCTAACATTTTATAATTTATAAATACACAAAACTATTAAATATTACATTGAAATCAAGGGATTAAAAAAAATTATTAAAAAATTTCAAATTTTGGAGTGGTAATTTGCAATGTACTAAACTAAGAATGTTTTTTTTAATTTTAAATTTAATAGATTTTCAATTAGTTATGTTTTTTTCAAAAAAGTTTTTACCATGAAAATTTTTTCCTAAACCTATACTTTTAAAAGGTGTATGTATAATATTTTTTGTAAAATTTTAATTTTCTAAGGGTTGTTAGTAATTTTGTATATTCATTTTAATGTCTATAGGTTAGAAATTCTCATCGTGTTTTTTTGTAAATTATGAATTTTAGGGGATTTTTTTAATTTTTTAAACTTATAGGTATTTTCTACAGATTGTAAATTATTTATAGACTATTTATAATTCATATAATTTCAATTTACTAATGAATTTGAAATTATTAGGGTGTTTTTTGTAAAATTTTAATTTTAAAGGTTTGTTTGTATTTTTTGAAACTGTAAGGGCATTTTCTATAAATTATAAATTATGTTGGGGATATTTATAATTCCTATATTTTTAATGTACTGTTAGGTTGGAAATTATCAGGATTTTTATAAATTTTATAATTTTGAGGGTTTTATTTTACAATTTATAAAAAATCCAGAGTGTGTATTGCAAATTCCATAAATTTTTGGGGGTTGTTTGTGTTATTTATAGGTTTTTAGTGTGTTTATAGGTTTGAAAATTTTAAGGTGTTTTTTATAAATTTTAAAATTTTAGGGGTGTTTTTATAATTTTAAAACTTATAAGATATTTTCTCCAAAGTAAAAAAAAACTTTTAGTTTCTAGCTAGCATATGTTTTTCAAATTTCTCTTTGAATTGAAATATGTAAAATTTATAATTTTTAATATGCTTTAATAATTTTTTTTACTTTGTAAGGGTGTTTTTGTAATTTAAAAAAACTTAGAGAATATTTTTTACAAAGTCTAAAAACTTTTAGGTGTTGGCAGGCATATGTTTTTTAGATTTCTCTATAAACTGAAATACGTAATTGATTTGAATTATATGAAATGTATTTCTTTTATCCAATAACATGTTAAGTCTCATTATGAATAGAATAAATCATTTAGTTACCAATTCAAAAAAGATATGATAATTAGGATAGATTAAGATAACATTTTAATATTCAAAAAAGCTAAGGATAATATTGATCATAGAAAGATTTTTCTGATCTCGTACTTTAAAGAAAGTATATAGTGATATGATTTGTTAGAACTATGTTGCTCTAGTTAAACAAGACCCACATCAATTTTCAAGATAATTACACGTAGTGATCGCACTAATTCCATATTATGTTTTTAATGATATTTCTTTGCATTGATTTTACTGTTTATGCTGGTTTTAAATAGGGTTATTTCACTACTAGCACCTCAGATGTTTCATATTTCTTATTGACACTTCAAAGTCATTACAACTTTTATGCGGTCCCCAACTCTTAATAAGATGCTTAAGTATGACCCTCTCGTAAAGGTCATTTATTCCGTCTCCGCAACTCGCTCTTCATCTTTTATGAAAGAGAAAAAAGATTGTCTCTACGTCGCCCCCAAAACCAATACTATAATCTTTTTATATTGTCCAATTCATATTTGTGTTCATATATATTAGAAAGGGTATAATTTTCGTTCTGCTCTAAAAAGTTAAAGCTAATGAAATATTTCCTCTTCCCAAAAGGGCACTAACTAGAGGTACTAATTTCAAAGAACTTATCTGATTGCAAGGATCTGAAAGTGACTTAAGAGGTCTACTCTCAAAATATACAACATTTGAGGGACTGTATCGAAATAACTTTCTCCTCTCCCACGAACTGCAACTCCGAATTCAGGCGGCAGGAGTTGCAAACCCTAACCGCCAAAACCTTTGCAGTCCCCTCTCTGGCCGCGAGCAGGATTCTCTCTCTCCAGCAAGAATCGAGCCCTTCTCCTCTTGCTCTTTCTCAATTCGTTCTCTTTACCAAGTAATCGTCTTTTTTTCCCCTTTTTTCTTTTCTTTTTCTTTTCTGTGCTCTCTACGTGTTTGTATAAATGCCTCACTGACTCTTTGTTTCCACTAGCAAAAATAGCTTCTCTAATGGAGGAGGAGAAGCAAAATCGGCTGCTGGTGCTGTTTGCTTCGCAGACTGGCAACGCCATGGACGCGGCAGAGCGAGTTGGGAGAGAGGCCGAGCGCGGGGGTTGCCCTTCGGTTGATGTTCTCTCCGTCGACGCCTTCGATCCTGTAATTTCTTCTTTCATATTCCTCCCCCTACCCAATAATTTTTTAGGTTTTTTTGCGCTTTAATACCCCCAAAGTTTCATCCTTTCCTAACTTTGATACTGTAAAGTTTTTTATTTTAGCAATTTGACATGGTAAAGAGTTTGATGGGTGTGAGACGGCGGCTCATTTAGTAAAATGAGCAAACCAGAAATAGAAGCGTGAGTTCCGCGCATTTTGATGTGATTTTTATGGTGAGACCTCATCACAGGGCTATCATTTGGTATCTCATTTAACAAAATAAGCGGCAATCTCTTACCCATTGTTTCCTATTGTAAAAGCAAGCAAGGGCATTTATTTTGTTCGAGAATATCAACAAGGTTTTAAATGTCGGATGTCGGGTTCACGTCGGATGGCTAAAATCCATGTCGGATAGCGGAAATCGGTGATATATCGGGGAACATGGACTAAATATCGGATTGCCATATCGGGTGGTGCGCATATGTATAATATAATGTCCTAAATGTAATCTAAGCATTCCGAAATTCAATATAAGCATACTTTATAAATTCTAGAGGCGGCGATGGCGATGAGTAGATTTCGACGTCGCAAAGAGGCAGTGCCTGGGCTTTTCTTCTTCTTCTTCTTCGTCTGCTCAGGGTCCTTCGGATAAGTCACCGACCACCATATTTTCTTTATCCCGACGACGGGATACCATGCCGCCCTCGGGTTTGATTGGGGTTCGGATTTTGGAGCGCAACGAGAGATGGACGACGGGGGGCCGAGATGGAGGGGGGGGGGGTTGTCGTTCACGAAGGGAGTGATGGGTTCCCAAGTCCGTTACAACCCTAATTTTTCTCTTTTCTTTCTATCGGGTTCATAAAAAACCCTTAAACATGAGAACGGGTCAAACGAGTTTGGGTTTTTATCACTAAACCCAAACCCGATAGCAAAAAATAGATCTAAAAGAAGTGTCATATCGGTCGATTTTTCAAAGCTGAAAAATCACTGATATGCCCAATATGGCCCTAATATTACCGATTTGGCCCTGAAAACCGACATACGAGTTAAAAACGCTCATGTCGTATCGCTCAAGCCCTCAAACCGACATGTCGGTCGACATTTAAAACCTTGAATATCAAGATAGACGAATGTATGAGAAACAAATTTTCTTGCTAAAGTTCACCTGTTTGAATTTGGGAGAACCATGGAACAAAGTTAGGGTGGATCAGAATGTTGGGCAATGAAAAAATAATATGTGCAAAAAATGAGTGTAGCAAAAATGAGAATGTTGAGATGGTCTTGTGGGTATACACTAAAAGACAGGATAAGAAATGAGCGCATCCATAGTAAATTAGAGGTTGCTCCTATAGAGAATAAAATAAGAGAGAATCGATTAAGGTGGTATGACTATGTACAACGTAGATATTTTAGTGCACCAGTTAGAAAAGTGATAATATTATAGTTAATAGAGCAAATAGATCTAGAGGTAGACCTAGAAAAACTTGGTTGAAAGCAATTAAAAAGGATATGGTTATGGTTAGCTTAACAAAGAAGATGACCCATAATAGAACGGAATGGAAGAATATGATTCATGTAGCCGACCCCTAACACTTAGGATAGATGCTTTGTTGTTGTTGTTGTTGTTGTTATGGAACAATGTTAGCGCTTTGGGGTATCAAATTGACATAAAACACACACATACATAAACACATGTATGTCAGGGTAGGCAGGCGTGCGTGCATGCATGCATAGAGTCAGTTAGCTATCATATTATCCTTTGTCCCTGATCAAATTGCAATTTTTCTCTTCTTTCTATAATTTTTAGTCTGGAGATTTTAATTATATGGTTATGATTTCCTTTCTATATCACATTCTCTATTTCAAATTCTAGTGAGCTTCTTAATTTGTTTCGTTTGAGACTTTAGTATATTACTTCTATTGTCCCTGAAATATCGTCTTTCAATTCTTCGCCAAGACTCTGACTGAGCTAACACGATCATCTCAGTGTTGTTTGCCAGATGAGCAGACAGTCATCTTCATTGTTTCAACTACAGGCCAGGGAGATGCACCGGATTCTATGAAGGTTCATTTTCTTTGTTTCTTTTTCATGGTACCTTTGCATAACTTCTCATTCATTAATTGCAAAGTGGTATTGTTTTCTTTTCAGGCATTTTGGAGGTTCCTTTTGCAAAGGAATTTGGGCCATCAATGGCTGGAAGGGCTTCGGTATGCAGTTTTTGGGTTAGGAGATTCTAGCTACCAGAAATATAATGTAATAACTCAAATCACTGATCATTGGCTTTAGGGTGTTCAAGCTTCACATTTTAATCCTGATAAATTATTTCTTTAATATAATCCTATCATATCAGTGTATATGTTGATTAGATGGTACATAAGCTAAATGTTGATTATTATTCAGAAATAAGAAAACTATTTATTGGATCTTAGAATAGTTAAGAGCCATTGCAGCCTTGAAGAGGTTTACTCCCATAGTAAAGGTTATGTATGGGATGCGGTTTTAAGAGCTAACATAAAAATGAGTTCTGTAGCAGTTGTGGTCTTAAGTTATGTCCTTTACGAGTTTTTGCCATGCCATTTCTCTCTTTTCATTTCTTTGAATTTGAATTTTATGTTGACACCAAAGTTCTGTTGGGGATGTAGTTTTAAGAGTTAAAATGAGTGCTACAGTTGGCTTGTCTGATTACAGTTAAAAGTGGATAAACGATGCATCTTGATTATTTCCCTTTGTTTCTCAATACTGTTGAACTATTGTTGAAGTTTACTGCAAAGAAGCTGGACAAAAGGCTATCAGATCTTGGGGCAAAACCCATCGTTGAAAGAGGTCTGGGAGATGATCAACACCCATCAGGGTATGTTTGTTGAGTCCTATTCTTTACATATCTTGTTCTATTAGCTTCAATTTACTCTTATTGATGCAAGATTATCTTTTCAGTTTTCACTATTTCATGATCTATTTTCTTTTATTTTGTTTTTATTCAATCTTACAGATTAAGGTCCTAGTCCTTGATACAGAAAAAAAGTTCCGAGTTATCTCTTAAAGATTTGCATCTATTTCTTTTGCTTTATTATTTGTCAATGTCCCGCAGATTAGTGGAATTTTTTTATTCTCCTAGTTAGTTGATTATCCTGACAACTTTTCTGAAATTAACTTGTGATGTGAAATTCAATCAACATTGCTGACTTTTTGAACTGTGTTTCATAGATATGAAGGTGCTTTTGACTCTTGGTTGGCGTCTTTATGGAAAGTGCTGAATCAAATGAACGCTGCAATGTTACCAAGAATCTCAGATATCCAGGATGCTCGCATAATAACTCTTGATCTGCCAAAGTTTCACATCACTTATCATCATGTTGAGAAGCCAAAACAGTGTTTCCCAGCAAACGCAGGTAATCACTGTTTTTTCCTATTGTCGTTATGTATGCAAATTCCCACATGGGTAAGGGCAGGGCTAGATTGTAATTTTTAATGGAAATTCAACTATATTCTCAAATTTGGTTGCTCATTTGGTTAATTATGCTTTTACAAATATCTCAGTTCATACAGAATTATGTTTTTATAACAAAACAACAACAAAGTTTAATGGTTATTGAAATCAAACTTTGGAAGGTTGTATATATACATGACTGCATATTGATAGTGAGATATTTCCTTTGTGTGGTTGTTAATACTAACATAATTAGCTTTATATTTGGTAAGTTTGAAATCATGAGCTATGATCAGATCTGGTGTAGCCTATAGGAACTTAAGGAACATATTAGAAGACAAATTCCTTAAAGGTTTTAGTGGAAGAAATTGTATTTGCACAAGGAATTTTTTACATTAAGAAAGACCCAACCAATTCCTAAAATACATTCCAACTTTTCCTTGCAACCAACAACATTCCTTTGAAGCAACATACACAGGTATTTTGGGATAGATTAAGGTTATGCAAAAGTGCATCCTCCATGAATATTCATGATACTCTCTTAGTTTCTTTTATTGACTTTTTTCCCTGGTATAGTAGTTTTTCTTCCTTGGTTCTGTTTTGGGGCATATTCATATATTGTGATGCTAATTTGTGAATCTGTACTTGATATCACACGCCACACCTGGGCAGATATTGCAGTAGCACACATTAGAACATTTGCGCTTTTTACCACTCTGGTGATCCGTCTGTTTTTTTTTACCTCAGTTTTATGGACACAGATAGAGTATACTTGTTCTGAAGGATCAACTTCACGTAAGTAATAGCTAAGTATGATTCAGGGCATGGATCAACTTCACGTAAGTAATAGCTAAGTATGATTTAGGGCGTGCAGTATTCGTAATTTTGTTTCAATTTTTGCTGATAATATGTATAGTATGAAAAAGAAGTTTGCATTGCAACAAATCGACCAATTTTAGCGACAATGTTTTTAAACAGTATGCTACCTTACAAAGCAAAATATGCACCAGTAAATGTCCTTATGTGCCAAAGACTTTGAATGCTGCCAACATTATTTTGATAAACACACTGTCTCTGATTATTCGCATCTTAAATAATCTTATCTTAAAAGTAAACTCTTAATACAAATTAATCCACAAATGTTAAAAGAGAGGAATTCACCTTCGTGATTACTACTTGTAAAATTTTCAAGTACTATAGTTAGAAAATTATTTCACTGACCTCTAGAGTCATGTTAGCATTTGTTACTCTATGCTCTCGTTAGCTTAGTTTTATGAAATTGATTAACAATCTTGCTTATCGATACATTTTTTTTTGAAATTCTACCTTGTTAGATTTGGACAATCTTGCGAAGATGATTGAGGGAGCTCGCTTAATGTCTGCTGCACAGCCTCGATCTGATGATAATAGGCCACAATACTTCTTAAAAATGGTATGCATTTCTGTTAGCTGATGTATATATGCTTTTGCATTAACAATGCAAGTAGACTACTACTTATGCAAAGTCATTATTATTGTACCAACACCGGTAGTCTACTAACTAAGAGGCCAATCCAAAATTTGAGAATTCTATATCCAGATCCCCATGCTAGTTTCAAAATGTCATGCTTGCTTCTGTGTTAACAAATTAGCTACTTGCACACACCTAGATATCCCAAATGCGTTTGTAGTTTTATATTTGGATTCTATATCCGCTTTCATAAGTACTTCCTTCAATGTCTTCCTGACGTTTTAGCAATATCCAAGTTGATGAAAGTGTTTCTTAACAACAAAATGGACATAAACTATGTGAGCTCAATGCTTAGAAATTTTCCATCTGCCGTAGAGAGCAAGATTGGTTTACAAGGTCTATAAATAACGTTACAGTGTCTGATGTGGACGCAATGCATCAGAAATGCAAACCATGGAGCATGGGAGAAAGAAGGCCCTTAATCTGTCTACTTACATATCAACTAATAACTCTTTTCTTTAGGAAAGACCAACTTAACAGTTCTACTCCTTGGTGGAGCCAGGAGGGCGGGGGTGGTCCTGAGTTTTCTTGGGTCTAACTTATTAATATAATGATATATATAATATTATATAATAATATATTCTATAATATATATATATATATATAATATATATCATACTACGAGGAGACGAGAGCGATCACAGAGAGAGGAGAGATATGTAATGGGATCCTTGTCAATACCGGCAGGGGATCTTCTCCTTGACTGCCTCTAAAATCACCATGATTGGAGCGACATTATGGATTGATCCGCTCGCGTTAACTTTCGATCACATATCTACAACCCAACACCGACCAAGTTTGGGGGGGTGCATCCGTCGTCGTTTGACTTCCTCTACTTGAGCGCCATGTGAAAGTTCTATTCATTCAAAACCGTTAAAATTGATACGAGTGGATGAAGCGGTCAAACGACGAGGGTTCCACCCCAAACTTGGTGTGTGAGTTTAGAACATGTACATCAAGTTCAAAAAGAGCGGATGCATCCACAATGTCGTCAATAGTGTGATTTCACGCACGCGCCGCTCAAGGAGGAAATGCCCCTCCTATAGACATATCATTAATCTCATATATATATAGTATATATAGTACACACCTGATATATATATATAGTATATATATATATATACTAATAATAATTATGTGGTAGGGTTTTCATTATCAGGTTTCGTTAAAAGGCTTTCATATTTTGAAATCAGTCCCTCATAATTTTTTTTGGTCTAACTGCAGTATTTATTTTGATGCTCTAAGAAAAAGCTGTTGTTTCTTTTGGTTGGATGAACACATGCCAATAGTTCTTAATCGCTATATTTGGACATATTTATTACAGGAAAACAATCTCATAGATCAATATGTTATATGCAAAGTTGCATGAAAATGGGGACGTGTACCGGTGCGGGTACGGGTACGGGTATGGGACACAACAAATTTGTGAAATATAGGGTACGGGGACACGACTATATTTATATATCGAGATTGATAATGTACATGAGATTATTATTATTATTTGAATTATGTGCTATTTAAATTTAAATTCCTATCATATTTTTAAGTTTGTTTTATTACGTTGATTATTATAAATTGGAAAATGCTCTTTTTTTAACTAGATACTCAAGCCACTCTTTTAAATCATATTTTTTAACTTGGATATGATCTTAAACAACCGGATCCATGTCTAACGAGTTTCAAGAAATGGACTTGAAGTGTAGGATATGTCCAAGAAGTGTACAACTAGTATTTTAAATCAACATATCGTATAATTGAGTAAATGTTTGGGTAAATATATGCATATATCCAAGGAGTGTTCATGAAGTTTGGATATGGGTAAGTGTCAGGTACGGGTATGGCTTCATGAGAGAAGTACCAGGTAACATAGGTTATATGTGTAACTTCATAGCTCATTGTGCTGTAGTTATTTCGGAAGGGACAATTCTCAACAGCCTAAATCCTGATCTTCAGGTATCTCAAAGAAGTAGATGGTGATACTGAAGTTCAAGGCAAGCGAGAATATGCAATTGAAGAGTAGGGAACTACATTAACCTCCTTGTAGCCACCGTATTAGCAAGAACTTTAATCCATTAGAATTTTCCATCCGGTGCAACTCTTGAATCTTAGCCTTGTAACCTTGTTATAGGATTGCTGATCATAGGATAGGGTCAAACTTCCAAATGCAATCCTAACTAACTAACTTACAAATTTGTATGAATCAAAACTGTGAGCTTTTACTACTCAAGCAATTTATGTAGCTAGAGTAACCACTCTCATCCAATGACTCTCCAAGCAAGATAAATCATAATACAAGAAACCCTTGGAGATTCAAATACTTGGGGGTAGATAATATTTTATTTGAACTCTATAATCCTAACATACATGCAAGCCAAATAAATAATTGTTTGCAAGAAACGAAATTAGAAACCAATATTGCTCTGAACTTTTTAAACTAGCTAATATATTTAATATTGGAGAATTGCATTCAGCTTTAGCGAAGCATATGAAATCAAACAGCCGAGTGGACACGTTTTGTTATTCACTGTCTAATAGCATTTCCTATTTTACTTTCAGTTGTGTTATTTTTTCATTGCTTAAGATGATTTATATTGCTTCTAGCTGCTAATTTATCTTTGTGTTGTTAGATTAGAAAACTGTCTTTGACCAAAGCTGGAGACAGAGATGTCAACCACTTTGAATTTGAAGCCGTATCATCTGTAAGTTGTGTCTAAATTCAGCCTGATGTGGGCACTGTGCGTAAACATCTTAAAGTTGGATTTCATATTATATTTATGGAATTTGATGCATTTTTTAATCTTATCTTAGGATGTTCGATATCAAGCAGGTGATATTCTTGAGATTCTCCCAAGTCAAGATCCCATTGCTGTTGATGCATTTATACGTCGTTGTAACCTAGATCCAGATTGTTACATCAAAGTATGTGTAACTTCTTTTCAGTCAATATGATTTTTGTTTAACTGATATTTTGAAGTAATTGATGCCATATTTATAAGAAACAGTATACTGCATATTTATCACCCAAGAACTTTTGTCTTCTTATTTATGCTTAACGTTGTATATATTGGTTTCTTCTGCTACTTTCATAAGAATCTTAAATATTTCATTTATTTTTGTTTTCTTTTGCTTTACATGGAAATCCAATGTGCTTTTTAGTTCTAAAAGTAGTAATTCCTTTCCAGGTTCAACCAAGGGATAAGAAGAAGCAAATGGTTGATTATCATGCAAATGACTTCATGAACTCTATCAAATTAAGAACCTTTGTGGAACTGACAATGGATGTAGCATCAGCATCACCTCGACGGTATTTCTTTGAGGCAAGATAGTTATAATTTTTATTAGAACTGGAATGTCTTTGTTTTTTTATTCTTAGTCATTTTTCCCACCAAATAATTTATTCATTCTTAAGGTGCACGCCTCAACAAAAATATCTTAAAGTGCATCTCCATATGGAGCAAATGCTAAGCTTACCTTTTAAAATCAACTGTTAATTTTCATGTAAAAATTTAGTGCTAAATTTATTCAGTATTTTTATGCCGTTCAGGTAATGAGCTTTTATGCAACAGCTGAACATGAAAAGGAAAGGCTACAGTATTTTGCTTCTCCTGAAGGCAGAGATGATTTATATCAGTATAATCAGAAGGAGCGAAGAACCGTTCTAGAGGTGAGTTGTTCTGGAATTGTAACCTTTTTCTTGATGATCAGGTTCCCGAGTTCAGATAGAAATGCTGAAATAGCTATTTAGATGTAAATTCTCTGAGACCAGCTTGGTAATTAACAGCATAATTTATGAATTAGAAAGGTTTGCTGTACAAATTTCCTCTATATTCTTTGTCCAGGAGGAACTTATTAGGCATCTTTGCAGGTTCTCTCTGACTTTCCATCTGTTCAACTGCCATTTGAATGGTTAGTGCAACTGGTTCCTCCTCTTAAAACACGGGCATTTTCAATCTCCTCTTCTCCTTTAGCTCACCCAAACCAAGTGCACTTGACTGTGAGCAAAGTAACATGGAAAACTCCTTATGGGAGGCCGCGACATGGTCTTTGCTCAACATGGTTAGCTGGACTTGATCCTCATGATAGCCAAGGTATATGGCCAATTTCTTTTTGGGTAATTTTCGCAAAACCTCCATACTTTAGGGCTATTTCCCACGAAAATCCCCAGTACTTTGTTTTTCCAACTAAACACCGAATAATTTTCATACATAACCCCAAAGTGATGAAATGCCTCTCAAGGCAACAACAACAACAACAAAAATCCTATTTAATTCTCTATGGCAATTTCCTTTTTGCAAATCAAACCCTTACATCAGGTGATTCGCACATAAACCCAAACCCCTCCTGTCACCCTACCCAGTATCACAGCACTGCATCTCCATTTGCCTAACGTGAGGGTCTTTGTGCAAAAATTAATTGAGAAGGATGAAAAGGGTTTTGTTTGGCATGAGAGGCATTTTCATCACTTTGGGATTATGTGGGAAAAGTTATTGGTGTTTAGTTGGGAAACAGAGCATTGGAGGGAAACCCCGAAGTGGTGGTTTTTTTTGGTGAAATTTACCCTTTCTTTTCTTTTTTCACTCATAACAGATGAAGAAATTGAAATTTATTATGCTTTTCTTTATCCACAGGGGTTTATATTCCTGCATGGATCCAGAAGGGCTCGCTTCCTCCTCCACCGCCGGAACTACCTCTTATTCTAATTGGACCGGGAACAGGTTGTGCACCATTCCGTGCATTTATAGAGGAAAGAGAAATCCAAAATATGAATATGCCAACAGCTCCTATTCTCTTCTTTTTCGGTTGTAGGAATGAGAAAACTGATTTTTTATACAAGGACTTGTGGTTATCTCAAGCCCAAGAGGGAGGAGTATTGTCCACGCAGAAAGGTGGAGGTTTCTTTGTTGCATTCTCAAGAGATCAGCCACAAAAGGTTTATGTTCAGCATAAGATGAAGGAACAGAGCAAAAGAATTTGGAATCTACTGAGTGAGGGAGCTGCAATATACATAGCAGGATCCTCAAACAATATGCCAGCAGATGTGACCTCGATGCTTGAAGAGATTGTTTCGGAAGAAAGCGGGGTTTCGAAGGAATCAGCTGCTAGATGGCTAAGATCGCGGGAAAGGGCTGGTAGATTTCACATTGAGGCATGGTCATGAGATTGGCCGGTAAATAAGTTCAAAATTTGCACCTCTTTGTTTCTGAAATCAAGATTGTGATTAGAATCTGATACCTGCTGCTGCAAGAAGACGCTGAAGAACTTCTGTATGTACCATTGTTGCTGAAAGAAGAAGTAATTTTTTATTTATGTTTATGTTTATTGTATACAATACAAGATGGTCCCCCTTTTTCATAACTTGAGTAGGTTGCTGATAGAGACATACTTATTGTACACAATACAATTTTCTGTTTATGTTTATTGTACTAATACAAGAATAAGAGAGTCAAAAAAAAAAATTCATAATTTGAGTGGGTTGTTGAAAGAATATGACAGTTTTTCCATCGTGCAAGTCATGCTTGCTTGGCTTGCTGAGCTGTTCGTCTTAATGTCAGTAAGAATTAAATAGTGAGATTCTGTGATTCTATAATATCCTAATGTTTAACACAGGATAATAATGAAGTTTATGCGGGCAAACCAAACTATAACTTAATGCTGCCAAATATCAAAATTATAGTCATTAGTTATGCACGTGGTCGACTTTTCATCTTTTCTTGCCTGATGTAACTCACTTACATTGACATCTAACTACTTTTGGACGAAAGAATTTATGTTCGAAAGATCTTATAAAGCCAATTGAATCCAAACAACTAATTCAAATAAATATTTGGTGCTACTAAATGCTAGAACTTCATCCCCTTGGGGGGGTAAACACGTTACCTGATCAATTGATCACTCAATTACATCCAGCACGTAAATAAATAAAGTAGTCGGGAGATGTAATGTAGCTAATTAAGCGTTATTCACCTCCCAATTACTGTAATATAATAGTATAATAACATAATCATCGACACTTCTCATGAAATGCCACCTACACCTACATCTTCACTGCAGCAACCTTTCCATTCTCAGCAGCAGCAGGAGCAGCAACCAACCCTAAATTCCTCAGCACTCCCAGCGCCGGCGCCTCCTTGTTCATCGTATAAAAATGCAGCGCTCTCACTCCGGTCTCCTTCAGTATCTCCCTACAAATCTTGGTGGCCAGCTCCACTCCGTACTCTGCCAGCTTTTTGTCGTCGCCTTTCGCCGCGTCCACAGCTGCGCGGACCTCTTTGGGGACCTTGGTCTTGCAGGTCTCGGTCATGAACTTGAAGTTTCTGTAGGTTGTGATGGGGAGGATTCCGGGGATTATCGGGCATCGGATTCCGATGCGACGACAGTCTTTGACGAACTTGATGAATACTTGGGCGTCGAAGAAGAGCTGGGTTATGATGAAGTCTGCACCGGCGTCGACTTTCTTCTTGAGGTAGTCGAGGTCGGCCGCGTAGCCCTCTTCGGTGGCGACCTCGGCGCCGTCGGGTATCTGAGATGGGTGGGCTTCTGGAGATGCAAATTAGTGTGATTTTTAATCAGTACGGTTAAATAGAAATTGATGTAAATAAGCTGCTGGATCTTTGATGCGTTTGCGCTTCCTTCTCCTTTCCCCCCCTCTCTAGTTATAAATTAACAAAGTTAATTAACTTAATTAAGGGTAATTAGTGATATTTGAAAATTGTTGGGAATAAAATTTAAAAAAAATCAGGGCGGGAGACTTGGGTTAAGCTAATATTTTGATTTAGAGGGTAAATTTGTAAATAGAGTTGATAAGGACGGGTTATGAGCTGAAAGATGCAAATTTTTTGTTACCGCAAAATTTTAATGGTCAATACCTACCTTCTGCCTTAAAGTTCTTAGTATACGGATTGAGATCCTCTACTAATGATGAGCTTCCTAATATCTCCGAATGGAATCTTAGCCTTTGATTTATCAATCAAAGACCACGACAAAAGTAGGGGGTCCGTCTTTGGTTGATAAATCAAGGTCAAGATCTCTTTATTAGAAGATATTAGTAGAGAATCCATTAGTAGAGGATCCCAATTCCTTAGTATACTGCCTACAACTTTGACAAGTTGAATATGTCAATATTATATAGATATTCTAATGGGATTTGAATCCTCTCCACTACAAAAAAAAATAGTGGAGGGACCACTACATAATCACAGCCATTGATTATCTAGTTGATGGTTATGATTTTTTCTTTTAGTGCAAATTAGGAATGAGTGCAATACACGAGGGTATGGTAAGTGTTAGATTTAGATTGTATCATAACCGCCTACTAAATAATCAACGCTTGAGATTAAAAATAGTGGTCTCTCCACTACTTTTTTGTAGTGGAGAGGATCCAAATCCATTCTAATGATCTAGTTGTCAACTGAATTTCTTTTTGATTTCTTAAAAAAAAAAAAAAAAAAAAAAAAAAAAAAAATTGCAATGAGAGATGGTGACCAATGCAAATGGTCCGTTTAATTGATTCGACCAGTTCAATCAGTTCAAGCTCACCCCGAATTTTTAAATAAATAAAAAAGAAGAAGGCAGAGAGAAAAGAAAAGAAAAGAAATTTAAGTGGGCCTTTATTTATTTATTTATTTTAAGTACCTGGGTACCCAGCAACGCAAATCCCAAAATAATCCCCATGCTTCTTCCTAATATACTTCACAAGATCCAGCCCGCTACTAAACCCCTCCCCTCCGCGTGCCGGTGTCCACGCGCGGTGGTCGATCCTCATCCCTCGACATCCCGCGCCACGTGGAGGTGCATTCATCGTGTCGACCAGCTCGCCCTGCATCCTGCGGCGAGCTCGGCGTGCGTGCCGGGACGGGTCAGCGGCCGCCAGGTGATGTCGCAGAACTGGGCCGTGGGCGGCCGATGGCGGCCACGGTGCGAGAACGAAAAGGCGTCGCGTGCCCGTGCGGAGGTAGTTCGGGGTGAAGTACTCGAACGAAAAGACGACCTTGCCTTCGTCGGAGGCCTGGATCTTCTCTATTTTCTCGATTATCTTCATTTTTTTAATATATATATTTTTTTTCTTCTTCTTCGAGTTTTGGAGGAGAGGGCGAAGGGAACGGGGGGGCTTTTTGAGGGAGGGAGAGGGGGTCACAAATTTATTGGGGTCGTGACTAAAGTTGGTAAAGAGGGGTTGGGGGGTCCACCGGTCCAGAGTCTCTCTTTATTTATAGGGTTTTTATATGGGTATACTCTGGTATGGGGGTAGGAATTGGGCACCACCGAACTCCATGGATTTTGGAGGCGATTATACACGTGATTTGGTTTTGTTATTAGTTTGTTTGTTTGCCAGATAAAATATTGTTTCCACTATTATATCTTACCTAGTGTAAATTTAATTGGAAATCAGCAAAATTGACCCGCGCGATACCGCTACGACAACTTACACCGTAGGTAAGCTGCTGAAATATAAAATGAATTAAAATTTAATTTGATTAAATAGTTTAGATTTAAGAGTGATTTTGGAATTAAGAGTGATTTTGGAAGCGAGTGGGTTTAAAATAAATTAGAGTTGGTTTACAGACAAATTACTTTTTTTTTGAAAGTAGATGAATTTTAGAATAAATTTGGATAAAACCTTGAGTTTATAAGAAAAAAAAATCCGTTTATAATTTGTGTTGACGTGCCACTTGAATGGCAAAAGCCAGTAAAATAATACTTTAAATATTTATGGGGATAAAGCTTTGGGTTCGCAGACAAAAAAAAACTAACTTTTAAAGTGGGCAGATTAATTTGATTAAAACTTTGGTAAAAAATAGAAAGAAATAACATCATTTTCCACACTAGGTATCAAAACTCATGCTTCTAGCTTGGCATTAAGTTGTTTCACCATCGGGACATTTTGTCGTGGAGTTATTAATTTTACGTAAATTGTTTATATATATTATAGTTAACTAAGATAATTAAATTGTAGCTTTCATCCCATTAACTTTAGTGTGTGTACTGGTGAAAATTGTTTAAAGTTTTGCCTGCTAAAAAAGTAAATTGAAGTGTGAAAGTCAATTTCAAAAGTAAATTGAAGTGTGAAAGTCAATTTCTTCTGCAAATGAGAAAGTGCAACCATGCACCATTCAAATTGACGCAGCGCGGAAGTTGTAGCCTCGGAATCCACCAAGGACAATATTCGAATCCACGAAGAGCTTCGAATCCACAAAGTAAATATTGAACAAAAACGAAATTTTATTTATCAAAAGTTATGCCTCTAGGGCTTACAACAATCTTCTTAAATAGAAAAAAATAAACAAGACTCCTACAAGGACTCAAACTCTACCAAAAATAGTAAAAGAATTCCTAAAAGATTAAAACTCCTAAAAAGACTCATTATTACTAGGAAAGTCCACCGGTCAAATCTGAGATGAAATCGGATTTGTTTCCTAAACAAAACAGACTCCTAAAATATTACTAAAAAAAAGTAATAACGGACAAAAATACAAATATCTCTCAAAACGTAAGGAATTTGGCGAAACGAAGAACACAAACCGAACCCGAAGGGGTGGGTTTGGATGACTCCGTCTCGTCGAGATAGTCGATTTTCATATATAATTCGTCTAATTCTGACGTACGGTTTGAAAGTTACGACCGTTTCTTCGAAACTAGTTATTTTCTTCGACCATGCCCGCATTTGGGCTTGCGACTGTCCCACTTTGACATAAACGTGTCTGCTGTGTGTTTTACATCACAAATGAAATACAATGTTTGCTTACAAAAACGAATTATTGTTCAAACTAGGATCAAGTATTAAAATAATAAGGTAATTAATTAATTTAAAATCATATTATAATATTACGATTATTTAAAAAAAAATTAGTTAACAGGGTCCTTACATTTTCACTTCTTGGATTACTTTCGCACTGTTTCAAGGCAGCTAAATACGCATTTATAAGAGCAGTGGTCTCTTTAATATATTTTTTTTACGGTAGAGATTATTCAAATCATAAAGAAGATTTAAAATGACATGTAAAACACTAGTGTGTAAAGAATTATCTAATTTCTAAAGAAACAGACGATGTGAAAGATTGCAAAATATGGCTTCGATCAATTAGTGCCTCTCAAAGTTAAATATATTGGTTGCCCCATGAGGACCAGATCGAGGTAGTTAATATTTGAGGTGAAACATGATCGCATCTACTTACATATCTAGAGTCACTTTGATGTAACTTGTAACCTCCCTCATCAATTTCACGTCTCAAAAGTGTAAAAAACAAAAAAAAAGTATTCTATTCTTCGTAAGTGGCTTCGATCGCTATCTTGCGCCTCCTCTCAAAGTAAGAAGCATCCCATTCTTCGTAGGTGGCCTTCGCTATCTACCGCCTAACGTTTTCCCATGCTGCGCTTTTTTCCCGTCGGTGGATGTCAGTGTCTGTGTAGCGTCCACGCGTTTCCCTTGGAAGGAAATGGAGTCGTAATTGTAAGTAGATAATTTGCAACAAATGCTACAATTAATTTAATAAGATCGAGGAAAGGTTTCTTCATGTCTCAAAAAAATTTTAGAATTTAAAAAATAATGTTGGAGTTTCTATATATTATTGCAGAATAATTAAGGGTTGTAGTTTTATATTCTAATAAATAAAAATAATTTCACATCTTCAAAAAAAAAAAACTTCTTAAATCCAACTGGAAAATCATTTGCGCACGTACAAGATTTTTGCATTATTTGCTTTTCAACTAAACATTGAATAAGCGTCGGAAGTACATTTTATATAATATGATTGTAGATATCTAAACAACCGAATTTGAAGTTGATTTTTTTTTTCCACCATGCTTGCTGTAATCAAGTCTCGCAGCAAATTAAGTAGACATCCCCAAGTTGGAGTCAGAACGACTAACATCCAAATCAGTTAAATATATTTAAAGCAAATTTTAGAACAAATATATTGCTGGGTAAATTGTAAATTAGACTGTACTTCAGATTTCTTCGCATGAAAATGACGGTTTAACGCATAGGCACATATTTAATTTAGTAAAAGATATTTAGAGACGTACGTTTAACGGTGAAATTCGAACACAAACGCCTTGTTTGATACGCGGGAATGTGGTGGAATGGAATGACCATTCCCACTTCTCATTCCCCCATACCAAACATAACTATTTTTTAGAAGTTAGAATGCACATTCCCGGGAATGCTCATTCCCACTTTTTGTGGGAATGAGCATTCCAAGTGAATTGATGAGGAATGAGCAATCACATTCAAGAGGGAATCAAATTAGTTACGTAATTTCCAATTACATCCCCATTGATAACAAAAATAAATCTAAAAATCTTGTCTTATTGAGCGACATAACCAGATTAATAACATGGATATGTATGAACAATTAATTAAGATGTTTATCCTTAGGCATGCATATATAGGGAAATAGATTCTAGGATAAAAACACGAACTATTGCCTATTTTTATGAAGTTTATTTTTAAAAATAAAATTATTTAGTTATTATTATTAATATTTATTTGTATCTTTTTAAAAGTCTATGTTGTTGTAAGGGCATTATTAGAAAATAAGATTTCATTCTCACTTGTGAACTAAATGATACCAAACATGAAAATCAGAATGTGATTTCCATTCTAGCTTCATTCTACAAAAGCACCCAAAGAAGAGAATAGGAATGAACATTCCCTTCCCACCTACATTACAATCCACGCGTATCAAAAGAGACGAAAAGGTCTTTCCTTGTGGCTTCACCTACTCTATTTTCAGATTCCATGCGGTTGCTTGCGTGCTTGCTTTACAGAAGCGTAATAAATAAACGCTTCCCCCTTTTTTTCCCTTGCCTCTCTTGAGCTTGAAAAGTCGTTGGGAGCCTTTATTCCCACAAAAATTGTGGGTCCTACTTGATGAGGTAGGTGCAATACTACTGGAAGTCCGTATATGACCACCAATTCTGACGCTCAAAATCAAGGACCACTGGACATGCCCACTTGCTAAATGTCCAACAACAACAATAACAACAACAACGACGAATTAATAATAAGAGTAATAGAAATTTGGAAAAAATAAAAAATAAAAATCAAGAAGTATTATTCTGAGCTTATGCTAAGTTGGTTGTTCTCCGGGCCATTTTGATTTTGTTTGAGTACGAACTATATATCAAGAGAGGCCCAAAAGTAAAATTCACATCTTTGACGCGTCTAGCAGGATGAGACTTATTATTATTAATTTGTCTCTTAGTATCTCATGAAGCAAAATTAATTTCTATCTCATAACAATACAAATTAACACGTTATACTCATGTGACGTGTCTAAGAACACTTCGGCAAACTGAAAGGAACGATGATATATATTTACATTTTGACCACATTCACAAATTTGTTCTATTACACATACCCGTTCGCTGTAACTAAAAAACTTTGAATAAGTGTACGTCGTATTTTAGCTGGTTCTGGCATCTGTGATCCTCCATCCTTTTTTCTGTTTAAAAAAATAGTGTATGTCATATTATTATCTTCATGTGAAAGGAAAAAAAAACCAGGTGATTGTGAGGTAAAAAACAATTATTAAGACCCATCAAATTAAATGCTTCGTGAACCTCTTCAATTCCTAATCCAATAATATAATTTTTTTCCCCATTTACACAGTTTTTGAAATCAAGTTTTGAATTGGTTTTCAAGCCCAAAATCTTTATGGGCCCTACTAATGAACCCACTATTTTTGTCAAAACTCCATGCTTGCATTTTATTTTAGGCCAGGCATCAGATTTTGGGCTGGTTGAAATCTAAGCTTACAAGTT